ACCTAACCCCCCCCCCTCTATCTAAGTATAATTTTTTTTATATAAATTTATTATTTATATTGACATTGTAAAATTGTTACTCTTATGCCCAATTTATGCGGCGAAGCTCGGATTTCGAGAGTCAAACTTCTTATCTTTGACCATGATTTCGGACATAGGATCTATAAGTTTTTGGAAATAAAATTTATATATTTGAAAACTACGTAAAAAGTACTATAAGTCAGAATACTTAATAATTTAAAATATCTAAAAGACAAATAAAAAAAATCGTAGTCAAAGAAACATTTGTTTGACTCTCAAAATTCGAACTTCGCCACATAAATTGGGACGAAAGAGTACATTATTAATGTAGTAAACTTATCATAATAGATTAAGTATTATTTTTATCAAATTACTAATTACAGTAATTCTTTATTACAAATTACCTATAATTACCTTATAGTAAATGATGTGACTTTATAAGTAATTTTTACACTATTATATAGACCTAAGCTCGAACTAGTAGTACATACTATATTTTGCCAATTGCCACATTGTATATGTATATGTTATTGGCTGTATGCTGCTTGTAACCAGAATGTGTAGAGCTGTGTGCCATTTGTAGTTTATCGAGCTAAATTCCAATTACCAATACTAATGTTATAATAGTATTTTAAGAGCATAGAACAGCAGCTAAATCAAAGTGTGACTAGGAGATTGATTCGTTACTGCCACCAGATGCCTCAAATGTAACATTTTGTCTATTTAATTTTTTTGTTTAAAAATAAAACTGTATCTAGTTTTGACCTTTCTCCTTCTTTTTTTCTGATGAAGGAAGTGAAATTTATACAGTGCGGATGTAGTGTTAAAATGACGGGTTCAATTGAACCTATTACTTTCGACGCAGAGTATAATTTATATGTAAAAGCTCGTTACATTTTAAAAAAAAAGAGATATGAACCCATAAGGCCATAACTTTAAAAATATAATGAGTTCAATGCAAAAATCCTTAAATATTGAATCCATAAAATTTAAAACATGTATCCACCTCTATATTTATACCACTTTAAATATAAATCGAGGATTATAAGACTCCCGCAATATTTAAGTGTGCAACTGAAGAAAGGAGAATTGAGTACACCAAGTTTTTATATAGTAGTAGTAATAATAAACAAAATCTGCAGAAAGTCTGAAACAGATGAAAAGGATGTAAATTGATGGGATTGTGAAAGTAACTTTTGACAATCTGCGGAGAAATTACTCTTAAATTTTTTATTGGTATTGAAACTGAGAAGTGAGAACGTGAAAGTAGAAAAGTTTGAGACCTTTTCATTACTTCTTTCTTCTTTTGATAATCTTCAGAGATCAGGAATAAAATGATTACAAAATAATTAATCTTTTTTGGACCCACTTGTGTTTGGTTCAAAAAATATGGGGACCAGTTCTGTTCATTTTGCAATTCCCAAGGGGTAGTCCGTGAATCTGTATTTTGTGTGATACTCTTCAAGTCATGTGTGCTACAGTAGACTGAGCGTGTGGGGTTCCCGCTGTGATTTTCTGTACGTCTCATCTTTGATAATATAATTTTGTTCTTCGGGTGTGCTTGGTACGAAATTTTATTATTTATTTTTTCTTGTTTAGCTGGTGAGCGAAAAAAACTTTTCGAAAAATATTTTCTAATGTTTGGTTAGAGTGTAGAAAATATTTTTTTTATGTTACTCTCCTCACCCCCTTCCCCCAAGTCCCCGTGTTTCTTTGCTCTCCCCCTCTCCCCAAATACCCAAGTTTTCATAACTCTATTTTCTTCAACAATTTGATTATTCTTCTAAAAATTCACACAAACTCAAAGGAACTAATGTGCCGCTTTACCTTTTTACGCAAAACAACGTTAAAATTTATGATCCATAACTATAAACAAAATACTCTTTTTTTGATTGAAAAGAAAGTACTTTTTCTACGACATGAAAATAAAGTAATCATTTTATTGAAATAAATGAAAATGCTTTTTCTTCATCATCAAAAGAAAATGCTCATTTTATTGAATGAAAGAAAATATTTTTTCTACATCATGAAAAGAAAATACATTTTTTGTTAAAATAAAAAAAATACTTTTTTATATCATGAAAAGGAAAATATTCATTTGTTGAAATAAAAAAAAAAGTATATTATTTTTATTTAGGATGGGGGTGGGGGTGGGTAGGGTGGGATAGGGGTGGGTTGGGTAGGTGGGGTGTGGGGGTGGGTTGGTGGGGATGGGGGAATAGGGTGGGGAAGGTTGAAAAAGAGTTTTAGAAAATGTTTTCCCTTCTCTTGACATGGAAAATATTTTCCTCCAATTGGAGGAAAATGAGTTCATGAGGAAAATATTTTCCAAAACATATAAGCCAACCAAACATGGAAAAATTGAAAAATATTTTCCTTCGTACCAAACACACCCTTCGTTCTATATATTAGTATAATTCTTGTTAGTCTCTCCTGTTTAACGAAAGTGTTAACTTAATTAAATCAATCCAGTTCAAAATATAAAAATTAACCCTAATAGCCACACACCTAATCGGTTAAACTAAGAGCTTGTTTGGATTAGCTTTTAAGTCGGTCAAATCAATTTTAAGCTCTTTTTTTTGGCTTTTTTTTTTTTTTTTTTTTTTTTTTTTATGTTTGGCAAAGTTAAAAAGTGCATAATATAAGTTAAAACTGCTTAAAAGAAGCCAAAAGCAATAAGTTGGACAACCCCAACTTATTGCCTTTTGGCTTAAAAGCTATTTCTGCTGAAAAGCCATTATTTAAGCAAATCCAAACGGGCTCTTAAAATAGCCGGCGATGTATAATATATGATAATTGTGTATAATTAATGTTTAATCTATGTATATCGGCAAGAAAAAGTAAATATTGAATCTAGTTGTCTATTTGTGTAACAATCCAATAAGTATTCTTTTACAAGATTAATACAATAACAAGAACAATCCAGTAAAATCCCACAGGTGCGAGGTCTAGGGAGGGTAGTGTATACGCAGACCTTACCCCTACCCCGATGAAGTGGAGAGGCTGTTTCTGAAAAAAAAAAAAGAGGAAAAGAGATAATATATCAGTACCATCAACAAATAGAAATAATAACACCATCATATGAACCAGAAAATAGTGAAATGCAATAACAATAACCAGTAAAGAAGGCACAGTGCTATGAGAAATGGAAGAATAGTGTGAACACGACATAAATTGCTGGCAGTCTAAGACAAACCCTATCAGACTAGCCTCACACCCGGTACGAAGTAGAAAAATACTCAACTACCTCCTAACCTATAACCCTAATGCTCGACCTCCACACCTTCCTATCAAGGGCCATGTCCTCGGAAATCTGAAGTCACGCTATGTCCTGACTGATCACCTCTCTCCAATATTTTTTAGACTGCCCTCTACCTCTTCTGTACCCGCAAAAGCCAACCATTCACACCTTCTTACCGGGGCATCAAGGCTTCTCCTTCGCACATGCCCGAACCATCTGATCCTTGCTTCCCGCATCTTGTCTTCTATAGGAGCCACGCCCACCTTCTCCCAAATATCTTCATTCCTAATCTTATCCATCCTAGTGTGCCCACACATCTACCTCAACATCCTCATTTCTGCTACTTTTATCTTCTGTATATGTGAGTTATTAACCGGCCAACACTCTAACCCATATACAACATGTCTGGTCTAACCATCGCTCTATAAAACTAACCTTTGAGTATCGATGACACTTTCTTGTTATACAGGACTCCAGATGTTAACCTCCATTTCATCCATCCCACCTCTATACGGTGTGTGATGTCCTCGTCGGTCTCCCCGTCCTCCTGGATAACCGACCCAAGGTACTTGAAACTGCCTCTCTTGGGGCTGACTTGTGATCCAATCCTCACGTACATACCCGCTTCCCTCGACTCGACGCTGAACTTGTACTCCAAGTATTCTGTCTTAGTCCTGATCAACTTGAAGCCCTTAGACTCAAGGGACTGTCTCCAAACCTCCAGCCTCTCGTTAACACCGACTCGCGTCTTATTAATCAGAATTATGCCATCGGCGAATAACATACACCATGGCACCTCTCCCTGGATATGTCGTATCAGTGCGTCCATCACCAGCGCAAATAAGAACGGGATGAGTGCAGATCCTTGATGTAACCCCATAACAACCGAAAAATGCTTTGAGTCGCCTCCCACTGTCCTAACCCGAGTCTTAGCTCCTTCATACATGTCCTTGATCGCTCTAATGTAAACTATTGGCACACCTTTTGCCTCCAAGCATCTCTAGAGAACCTCCCTAGGAACCTTGTCACACGCTTTCTCTAGGTCAATAAACACCATGTGCAGATCCTTCTTCCTATCCCTGTATTGTTCCACCAACCTCCTAATAAGGTGGATAGCTTCCGTGGTTGAACGCTCCGGCATGAACCCGAACTGGTTGTCGGATATAGACACCGTCCTCCTCACCCTCACATCCACTACCCTCTCCTAAACTTTCATGGTATGACTTAGTAACTTGATACCCTTTTAAGATATTAATAAGATATTAATTAATATTAGAGATAATATAATGAGTAATTTAGTCAAATAATTTTTATTGTTAATACAATTAAATGATGTCTTAACGAGAATGTCAAAATCTTAAACACTTATTTTGGATTCGAGGAATGATATACAACAGTATATAACAGCACACAAAATGAAAGAAAAGACTAATTTTTTACACATTGGTGCTTTAAGAATCTTGTGCTTTTAAGCATATCTAAAATCTTAGTCCGGTCTCGGATTCGAGTGCTGTAATTGAGAAATTAAACTCTTACTAGGAAATATTTTCTTCTCTAATACATCTTATCCGATGCGAATTTGAACTAGTCAGGCCTATAAATTTCAAACACCAGATGAATAAACAATAAGAGGCTATTTTTATATTTTTCTTCATTCTGATTGATTATTTTATTCTGTGATGACCCAAAGGTCATCTTTTGTTTTAGAATCCGATTCCGTATTCCGAGGTCTTGAAAATCTCATTCTCTTTCTTCTAGATTTACGTGCACAGTCTGGGCGTATTTTCGAAAAGGCTTTATATGAAAATTTGAGAAAAAACATTGAGTTTTGCCTTTAAAATTGATTTAAGTTGACTTCGGTCAATATTTTTTAGTAAACGGATCCGGACCCATGATTTGACGGTCCCGTAGGGTCCGTAGAAAAATATGGGGCGTATGCCCGGAATTGAATTCCGAGGTCCCTAGTCCGAGAAATGAATTTTTGAAGAAAATTATTAACTGAAAATATAATGGTTTTTAGAAATTGAATAATCTTTGATATTGTTGGTATCGGGCCTGTATTTTAGTTCCGGAGCCCGATACAGGTCCGTTATGATATTTATACCCTATCTGTGAAATTTGGTAAAAAACGGAAGCGATTTGACGTGATTCGGACCTTTTGTTGAGAAAATAGGAAGTTTGAAACTATCTTGAAAATTTCATGCGTTTTGGTGTTGAATTCATAGTTCTAGGTGTTATTTTGGCGATTTGATCGCATGAGTAAGTTCGTATGATGTCTTATGACTTGTGAGCATGTTTGGTTTGGAGCCCCGAGGGCTCGGGTGAGTTTTGGATAGGCTACAGAGTGATTTCATCTTAAGGAAAATTGCGAAGTCTGGCTCGCAAATGCGAGCATCGCATTTTGCTAAGAATTTTCGCATTTGCGACCAGTACGGCTGGCAGGGGACCTTCGCCTTTGCGAAGCTCATTGTCGCAATTGCGACTGGAACAGAGGCCGCATTGCGATCATTGTTCGCATTTGCGATGATAGCAGGACCAGGTCATTCTTTGCATTTGCGAAGCTATATCTGCATTTGCGAGTTCGCATTTGCGAACGTGGGATCACAAATGCGATACCTGCAACTGTTCAAAACATAACTTAAATGAGGTTTTCACCCATTCTTCACATTTTTCAAAACCTAAACATCAAGAGGCGATTTTTCAAAGACCATTTCTTCCCCAAATCTTAGGTAAATGATTCTTAACTTATTTCTTTCAATCTATTTCATCTTTTTACAAGATTTCATCATAAAATCTAGGGTTTTTCATGGTGGGATTGGGTGTTTTTGGGTAGAACCTAGGAATTTCGAAATTTAGGGATTTGGACCTCAATTTGAGGTCGGATTCCAAAACCAACTGTATACCGGGCTCGGGGGTGAATGAGTAATCGGTTTTGGTCCAAAATTTGAGTTTTGACCAAGCAGGCCCGGGGTCGATTTTTGACTTTTTTGGAAAAATGTTGGGAAATCTATAATTATGAATTGGAATTGGTTTCTTTAGCGTTTATTGTTGTTATTAAGTTAAATATGGCTAGATACTAGTGGATTGGTGGAGGAATCGAGAGGTAAAGCGGTGTTTGAGCTGTGAATTACCCGTTGGCTTGAGGTAAGTGTTTAGTCTAACCTTGACTTGAGGGATTAGGTATCCCCGACTTGCTTTCTATGTGAAATACCATGTGTGTGGCGTATAGGTGTGGTGACGAGCACCTATGCGTCACCAAATTACTTGTTTAGCCTGTTCCCTTGCTCCGTTTCCCAATATATTGCTCTCCTGTCTTACGTGCTACTTGCTTATTGATGCTTCCATGTCTAATTGCTACTTGTTAAATGTTGCTTCTCTATTGGTGTTGTTAATTGTTCCATTGTTCCGTTATATCATACTGTTGGTTTATGTTGCTTTATTGGTGCTTCATGGTACACTTTGGTTGGTCTCGCTGTGTAGTTTTAAGTGGTAAAGTTTCATAAATATAGTGATATTCCATTGTGTTGGTTTGAGGTATAAGTGTTGTGGAGGGTTCGAGTTAACTTGTGAAACACTTGTCTTTATTTTGTGATTGGTGCTGATATATATACTGGGATCGGGTTGCACGCCGCAATAAGAGGAATAAGGGTGGATGTGATTGTCTGGTGGGATCGGGTTGCATGCCGCAATAGGAGGAATAAGGGTGAATGTGATTGTCTGGTGGGATCGGGTTGCACGCCGCAACAAAGAGTAATAAGGGTGGACAGGTGAGATCAGGTTGCACGCGGCAACAGGAGGAATAAGGGTGATATATTGAGGAGTAATAAGGGTGGACTGGTGTGATCGGGTTGCACGCTGCAACAAGGAGTAATAAGGGTGAATATTTGTACTGTTGTTGATTATATGGTGGGATCGGGATGCGCGCCACATCATTTGTTGTTTATGTATTCATATTCTGCTGAGATTCATTTTTGTGGTGTTGAAACTCCCTTAAGGATTGGTTATAGCTGAGTATTGGTGGAACGACTGGGTTCCGTATTTATTTAATGCAAGTTACTGTTATATTTCATTCTGTATTTCCTTTCTTTTTTAGTATAAACTGTTGCAGGTTATATATGTTGTTATGCCCCCCCGTATCCTCGTCACTACTTCGTCGAGGTTAGGCTCACTACTTACCAGTACATGGGGTCGATTGTACTGATACTGCACTCTGCACTTCCTGTGCAGATATCGGAGCTAGTGGCTGATCGAGAGGTTGGTTGCTGTTACTGCACTCAGGAGACCTAAGGCAGTCCTGCAGGCGTTCGCAGGCCCTGGCATCCCCTCCTATCTTTACTTCATTTCTGTTTTACTTTCTCTGAGACAGATGTATTTTCTTTCAAACCATTACTTGTAGTATTCGTAGACTGTTCGTGAGTTGTGACACCAGTTTCTGGGTGGTATCTATTTTTGCGTTCGTTATTAGTATAAGAGTAATTAGTTAAATCATGTACTTTCGCTTTTATTTCCGTTGATTTAGTTTTGTTAAATTTTAATTATAAAATGATAAAGGAAAAAAGTGTAATATTCTGTAACGTTGGTTTGCCTAGCGAATGCAATGTTAGGCGCCATCACGGTCCCGAAGGTGGGAAATTCGGGTCGTGACAAGTTGGTATCAGAGCACTTGGTTGCCTAGGTCTCACAATTCACGAACAAGCTTGGTAGAGTCTGAGGGATCGGCGCGGAGACGTCCGTGCTTATCCCAGAGGCTACAGAGTTAGGAACAATTTCACTTCTATTCATCTCTGTCGTGCGGTTTGTTCTCTCAATGCTAATTGAACTTCTACTCTGTTCTTCCGCAAATGGCGAGAACACGTACCGCTTCATCAGCTGAGCAGCAGCCCGAGCCCCCAGTGGCAGCTCCTACGAGGGGCAGAGGACGAGGCCGAGGACGTGCTAGAGGCCGAGGCAGGGGCAGGGCTCAGCCCAAAGCTCGAGCAGCAGCACTAGCGGCGGAGCCTCAGGTTGTGTTCGATGATGAGGTTTCAGCCCAGACGTTCCAGCGAGCCCTGCTCAGGTCCCAGAAGGGTTCATAGCTACCCCGGTACTTCAGGATGCTTTGGTCCATCTAGTGGGCCTCATGGAGAGTGTTACTCAGGCCAGCATACTTCCAGTAGCACCAGCCGTCTCTCGAGCTGGGGGAGGAGCACAGACTCCCTCTACTCACACTCCGGAGCAGATGACTCCCCAATTTCAGACTCCAGTAGCTCAGCGAGTTGGGGTAGTCCCACCTGGTGTTGTAGCACAGACCGGTGATGGATCAGCTATGTCTTCTGATGCCTTATGGAGATTGGACATGTTCACCAAGCTTTTCACTACTACTTATAGCGGTACATCTTCAGAGGATCCCCAGGACTATTTGGACAGTTGTCACGAGGTTCTACGGAACATGGGGATAGTGGAGACCAATGGGGTCGACTTTGCTGCTTTCTGTCTGTCAGGTTCCGCCAGGAAATGGTGGAGAGATTATTGTTTGGCCAGATCAGCTGGGTCACCAGCTCTCACTTGGGACCAGTTCTCGCAGCTATTCTTGGAGAAGTATCTTCCTATCACTCAGAGAGAGGACTATCGAAGGCAGTTTGAGCGCCTTCAGCAGGGTTCTATGACCGTCACTCAGTATGAGACCAGATTTGTGGACTTGGCCTGTCATGCTCTTCTTATACTTCCCACCGAGAGAGGGAGGGTGAGGAGGTTTATTGAGGGACTTGCTCAGCCTATCAGATTGCAGATGGCTAAAGAGACAGGGAGTGAGATTTCTTTCCAGGATGCAGCCAATGTGGCCAGACGAGTTGAGATGGTTTTAGCTCAGGGGAGTGGTCAGGGGTCTGACAAGAGGCCTCG